CCCATGGTTCCTTGGTGAGAAATGGACCCAAATATCCTCTGAATAAAAAAGGTAGTGGGAAGGACTGGGAAGGTGGCTCAGTGGTAGAGCACTTGCCTTGCATGCCTGAGGCCCTGGATTCGATTCCTCAGTACCACATAAGCAAAAAAGAAAAAAGCCAGAAGTGGTGCTGTGGCTCAAGTGGTAGAGCGCTAGCCTTGAGCTGAAGAGCTGAGGGACAGCGCCCAGGCCCAGAGTTCAGGCCCCATGACCGGACACCCACCCCCAAAAAAATTTTTTTTTAAAGGTGGTGGGAGACAGCACCAGATCTGTGCTGGAACTAACACAGCATGCAGGAAAAATGGGGACTCACCAAGACATTGTTGGGCTCTAGCTCTCATCACAGACAGGTGTAACCCCAATTTGACCAAATCCACAGGGGCTGCCTGGGACCATGTAGGCTTGGGTCCGAATGACAATCCAGGTAGCTTTGCTTAGTTTCCCTCTGTTCCCTCTGCCTCCCCATCCCAAGCCCGACCTGACCAGTCTTCCTGACCCTTCCAAGTGACAGTGACCTCCAAATATATACCCATACTCCTGCCCATGTCTAACTCAGCCCTCAGGTGACGTGGCAAGTCCACGCAGCTCTGGCCTCGGAAGCCTGCCTGTGCTTGGAGAAGCTGCAGTAGCCAGAAGTCTCCAAGCCTGCGGACAGTGCAGGAGGCTGGGAAGACAAGGTCCTTGGAAGGCCTCCTTGGATTCTGCCTTGGCACAGAGTGCCAAGGAGACACCTGGTCATTGGCTGGGAAGCCGCAGAGCTGTCGCTGTCAAGTGCTGTGGTGGTTCTCCCTAGAAGAGGAGGCCCAACTTGTGTCTGGAAGAAGAAAGTGCCACTCCACGGCCCAACTCTCAGAATAGACGCGTGTGGCAGAGGGAGCCTAGGAAGGGTTCATACCCCACTCAGTGGGAAGTGAGGGTGCTTCTGCTAAGTTTGGGGAAAGAAGTGGGGTGTACAGGAGAGGGAAATGGGTTACCCCCAGAAACGTGGGGACTGGCAGAGGAAGAGCAAAGACCGGCTGAGGTTACCCCATGAGTGAGCCACCGACTCCAACACCAAGACATCTTCAGTTCTCTATTTTCTGTCTTCCTTCTGCATCTCCAGCACAGTTCTATGAAATACCCCCGGTCCCATCCTGTGGTCTCAGCTTTGCTCTGGGGAGTACTGCGAGGTGGGCTGAAGGGAAGGGGATGAAAGCCACAGAACTTGGTGAATCTGGGCAGGAGAAGGCAGGAGGAGGCAGAGGGGACGCATCGACCTTCAGGACCAGGCCAGAGAGGGTCATGAGCAGTGAGACGGGTTTGGGAAGATGTTCACATCTCTAAGGAAGGAGACCCTTGGAAGCCCACACCGTCTGGGGTTGTCCTTCAGGATGGGAAGAACATTATCCCCCTCCACCCCAAACTTGAGATGGGACAAGTCTGGCCCACTGAGGCAGGCCGCTGTGGGGACAGGGCAGGAGGAGTGTGGCAGTCCAGCTGTTGCCTCCGTGGCCCACAGCAAGCAGACAGTCAGCACTGACTGTCAACAGGAAATGCCAGGAAATGGACTTGTTGCTGGGAATATCCTGCAAAGCCCATCCTTGACATCTCCCCCCCCCCCCGCCACACACACACATGACCATGCTGGCAGTGGCAGCGCCCAGCTCTGTCGTCAACCAACAGACAGATAATGTTTTTCTGGGGGGGGGGGAGGGGAGGGCAGGCCCTGAAGGACAAACAGGACAGCTGTTCACCCTTTGAGGCTCACAGAGCCCGAGTGTTTGGAACAATCCTTGGAAATAATGACACACATTCTGCAAGGCCATCCTGTTGGACTTGCCCCTAGCTGAGCTCTGGCCCCTGGTCTGCCGCAGGCCCTTCCTCTCCCCTCATCTGAAGTGCTTCGGGCCCTGAGTCCCTGGAATTCTCTCATGGCCCACACCAACTCATGGTCCGGATGGGCCTTGTAGTTTTCATTTAAATTTTTGCAGTTAAGTCATTTTTGTCTCTGTCTCTATCAGAGTGGCCAGAGGGGAGGTGGAGGGGGGCTGCGGGAAGCAGAGGGGACCTCGCTGGACACTTGGATGGCAGCCATTGACCTATCACCCTGGGCCTCTGCCACTAGCCTGCCTCACACAGGACGCTCGCATTCCAAGCTGGCTGCCTGGTTTGTTTTCTTAAGAACGCAGTAACCACACCAGTTCACTGCGTTCTTTATGGCCTTCCATATGTATAATCGCTCTTTTCTCTCTTCAGTTTTTCCAGTGTTTTTTTTCTTTTAAATAAATGCTCATAAATTTTACTGGTGAACAGGATGAAAAAACATACCTAAAAAAGAGCAATTTTGTTGGGGAAAAAAGCACACACATACACATAGAATGTAGAAAAACTGAGCTTCTGTTGAGAATAATATATTTAGTAGGAAAAAAAAAAAAGAAGATTCTTTGGTAATTCTTCAGTCGTTTCTCTAACACTTACCTAAGTCGCGTTCTTGCTTGCTACACTGAATTATCAGCCATCATCTCTCTGAGTTTGCTGAGACCCTAGTGGTAGATTCTCTGTCCTGGAGAATCAGCAGAGTGCTAGGCCTAGATTAATGGATACTATTAGTGGTCTCTCAGTCATTAGGGTATAAATCTTATGCAAGTCTCAGGATCCAGAAGCTCCAATATTTATAGGTACAAAACGAGGGGGTTGGGTTACATCTGGAAAGTTCTATGGTTTTATGATTACCTAGACTAGAGCAAGAAACTGAATTGAGGCCCTTTGGGTCTTCTCTGCCCCTCACAGAAGCTGAGGCAGCTCATCACCTTCTCAATATTCATTCTTCCCTTTCTTCCTGTAAACAGAACTCCATCTTTTGTTGTTGCTGCTGCTGGTGGTGGTCATGGGGCTTAAACTCAGGGCTTGGGTGCTGTCCCTGAGTTTTTTCACTCAAGGCTAGTGCTCTACCACTTCAGAGCCACAGTGTCACTTTTGGTTGTCTGGTCATCAATTAGAGATGAGTCTCACAGACTTTCCTGCCTTTGCTGGATCCTCAGATCTTAGCTTCCTAAGTAGCTAGGATTATAGGTGTGAGCCACCAGTGCCCAGCCAGAACTCCATTTTTATTTGGGGTAGCAATGTGCAATTTCCCAGACTCAGTTCCAACCACCAAGGTATAGTTCTTATTTGAAGTAATCAAACACAGGGCTTTTGCACATGCTAGGCAAGTGCTGTACCACTGAGCTACATCCACAGCCCTTTCAACCAGTAAGATATATACTTAAGTCCAGGGACTAGCCAACTCATCTGGCTTGTTTATACCCTTTGCCATTCCTGACTGTAATTCAGTGATATAATGGAGTCTAGTATAGCAGCCATTTTGAAAACAGAAGTCAAAATACAGTTATATTCCACATGATGTTTTAGTCAGTCACCAGTGTTGGTGGTTGCATAAGGTTATAATGGAGTTGAATATTTCCCATCATCCGGTGCCCTGGAAACCACTATAAAGCACTTCAGTGCAACTCATTACTTGGATACTTGTAGTGATACTGGTGTAAGTCAACTCACTGTGCTGCCATTCATCTAAAAGTATGGTGCACACAATTCCATACACTACAAATATTTGATAATGATAGTAAATGACTATACTGCCAGTTTCTGTAATTACTATATGATTATTATTTATTCTTATTATTTTGATGGTACTGGAGTTTGAGATCAGGTAGCCAAGCACTCTACCACTTGAGCATGGTAAGTAAGGGCATGTTTCCAGCCCTTACTTTATGATACTCTTTTAACTGCGGAATAACTTTTTAACTGAACTCCTACTTATAAAGAATGTTTACTGTAGAACTGTGTAATGTGGTACTCCACAGGGTCTGGTCCTAAGCACTCATAAGCCCAGCCAATGCTCATTGTACTACCATAGTCACAGCCTTTTGTCTTCTTGCTAAAGCCCCTGGGGCTTCTCGCCTGCCTACCCCCTCCATCTTTGCTCAGATGCACCACTGTGGGTTACTGGGCCTATGTGGCTGCCCAGTCCCTTCCTCAACAATTCATTGATTTGCTTCTTGCTTGGGCACCATAGTGGGTAGCCTAGGGTTTGAGCATCTCAGATTGCCTCCTTCTACCAGCTTCTCCTTTACAAGTTGCTCTCTTCCTTGTCTCTGTGACCTCTAGGGGCTGACTCATGCATATCCCCAACTCACCCAGCCCTTTCTCACACACACAACACATATAAAGCTTGGCTCTTAAACTAGTAGTTCTGCCACCCATTCAGTTATTAATTACTTTCTTGTTCTAGGAGGTATCTGAAGACAGAGCAGCGATTCCACTGTCCCCATACAATTAGTCTGTGGTAAAGGGGGGATGAAAGACAGAAGGAAGGCTGAGATGGGGGAGGATGCTTCATTAGGGTCTCAAAGTAGCCTCCCTATATAACTCTCTTGACATATATATGTATATATATATATATATATATTCTTTATATATATATATATATATACATATATCTGCTTAATGATCACAAACCAATGACTTATTCACAGTCAGTATGGGGCTAATGGGGCCCACTGAGAGGCACCCCCCCTCCTCATCCTGGAAAATGTATCACCTGTCAGGCTCTCTGTCTAGACCCATCTTTTCCCCCCAAGGTGCTATAAAAAAATCTGACAATTGGAGATCTTGTCCTTTAGGTAACTTTGTCCCTTCGAAGGTCATGTTAAAATGTGCTAGGACCAGAGGTGAGGCTTCTCTTCTGGCCCTGAGAACACAGGAAGGAAGGAATGGCCAGCCTTCAGGCCCCTTGTGTCCCTGCAGGTAGCACTTAACACTGACCCAGAGGGATGGCAGCCGACACAAGAGGCAGCAAAGCCTGTTCAAACTTGCATCTATTTCCTAAGGGTCCTACGGGGGTGCAGGGAGGGGATGAATATCCTGGGCTTCAGGAGGAGCCCCACGTCTTGAAGAGGGAGTGAGAGCCCCGCCTGCTCTGGCTAGTAGGGATTATTCAAGGTGTGCTGCATGATGGTCCTTATTGCCATCCACATCTCCTGGGCTGTGGGGATGATCTGTGAAGCTGGCAGCAGGAAGCCATAGCGCCCTGTGTCCCGGAGCTCGAAGCTGAAGGCATATTTAATGCCACTGTCATAAGCCCAGTCCACGGTGATTCCACTGGCCACATCTAAAACCAAAAGGCCCCCAAAGAGAAAGAAAAGGTGTGGTCAGAGGGTAGAGGGTAAAGAGGCACTCTAGAGCTAACCCACCCCCCCTCCTCCCCAACAATCCCCGGCCACTCCCTCTCCCCCTCTCTCCCCCCTGCCAGAAGAAAGTTCCTGGAGACCATCAGCTTGGGCATGTTTCCTTTCAGGAGACATTGTCCCAAGCCAGACATCAAGGGATGTGCACTGAGGTTATAAAGGAGCAACTTCCTGGGTACCAGTGTCTACCCTTCTGGGCAGAGGTGGAAACAGATTTGGCCCAGCCTGGCTAGATCTGAATCCTGCTCTATGTCTAGCCAAGCCTACCAGGCAGCTCAAGCTTCACCTGCCTGAGCTCAGGGGGATGTGGCTTACTCACAGAGGGTGGTGCTGATACTGCCAAAAAGGTACTCGATTCCATTCACCTCGAACAAGGCCTTGGCGGCATCCTTGGCAAGATTATACTGCAAATGATAGCCAGAGGTGGAGGCCAGGCCTCAAAGGAGCTCTCCGGCACCCCTGCACCCTCAGCCGGGGTGGGGGGGGGGGAAACATGGAAGCCAATTGTGCAGATAGCACTTGTGAGAAGAGAGCTCAGCACCTGCCAGGGCTTCTTGTTTCACTTTTTTTGGTGCTGATCCTGTGGCTTGAACTTAGGGACTGGGTGCTGTCCCTGAACTTCTGTGTTCAAGGGAAGCATGCTGCTACCTCATGAGCCACAGTTCTGCTTTTGGCTTTTTACTGGTTAGTTGGAGATAAGAGTCCCAGGGACTTTCATGCCCAGGTTGGCTTTGAGCCGAAATCCTCAGATTTCAGAACCCAGCAGCACCTCCAGCTTCAAACATGATCAAAAGTAGCTATGGACCATTGGTCCAGACCCTCTTTGGGGGAGTGATATAACCCTCTGATTATGTGCCAAATATGGGGTTTCCTGGGGAGTGGCCTCCTTCTCCCCCTAAGCCCTGAGCAGCCAATCTTACCAGCTCTTCCTGGTTTGAAACAGGCTCCAGAGAGTGGCCATAAGGGTACATGAGCATCTGAGAGTAGCTGTGGATGGAAATCAGAGCCTTGAAGTTCCCATGGCCTGTGATGAAGTCCACAATGGCAGCCACTTCTGGCTCTGACTGAGGTGAGGGCCCACGGTAAGTCTCTGAGCAGGGATTTTTGTTGGAACCATTTCCTGGAAGTAAAATGAAGTCCCCTCAAAGGGATGGAATTCAGAGATGTGACAAAGACAGTTCGAGCTCACCCTCCCCCTTGTCCCCGCAAAAACAACCCCCCCTATGTCTCCCAGCTTCCTTTACAATTTAGTTGAGGTCATATGATAGCTTTTGACCAATGAAAATATGAGCAGAAATAATATGTCACTCCTGGTTTAAGGCTATTAAGCATAAAGGTGACCTCCATATTATCTTTGTCTGTGGTGGCTGAAAGTAAAACATTCTTAATAAAAGCAGCATTCCTCTGTCATCACTGGAAAAGAGCTTCCAAGAGTCACCTGCCCACACTGGTCTTTAGGATGCATGCCAAATAAACTTACAGTGTTAAACCACTGAAATTTGGAGGGGTATTGTTTTTTAATTTATTTGTGTACCAGTACCAGAGTTCAAACTAAGGATCTGGGCTCTTGTCTGTTAGCTTTCTTTCCTTATTTTTGTCGGTCATGGGGCTTGGGCACTGTCCCTGACCTTTTTCATTTAAGGCTAGCACTCTACCACTTTGAGCCACAGCTCTACTTCCAGTCTTCTGGTGGTTGATTGAAAATAAGAATCTCATAGATTTTCCTGCCCCAGCTGGCTTCAAACCATGAGCCTCAGAGATCTCAGCTTCCTGAGTAGTAGTAGTAGTATTTGTGGGAGGTTTTGTTTGTTTGTTTGCTCAAGACTGACACTCTTACCATTTGAGCCATAGCTCCACATCTGAATTTTTAGTAGGTAAGAGTTTCACAGACTTTCCTCCCTGGGCTAGCTTTAAAACACAATCCTTAGATCTCAGCTTCTTGAGTAATTAGGATTATAGGCATGAGCTATTAGTACCTGGCTTGGAGAAGTATTTTGTTATTGCTGCATAACTTGGTCTCATACATCAAAAGAGTATAGCCACACCATGATTCAGCGACAGCATAGCCCTATGGAGAGCCCTGATGCTTCATCCTTTTGGTAAGTTCTGATTGCATTTCTATTAGAAAACAGGCCTGGAGAGGAAATCCTAGGACTCTGTCTCAATCCCAGCCTCCTGTTTGGAGCAGCAATCCTTAGGCTGACCCTTTCTGGATTTGCTGCTAGTTGAGTGCTCAAGCTTTGTTGCAGGAGCTCAATGGACTTGGGGAGCTAAGATCCCCACAGTCAGTTGAAGCTAGCCTAGGGAACCACAGATGCGGGAGGCCTTTGATAATTCTTCCTGGGGAATCCTACTTGGAGGAAAGGGCAAAGAGGAGTCATGCTTCTATTTTTTGACAAGTTGAACTTTTCCTATCTCCTATTCTTTGGTTCTCCTTCCTTCTGCCACTCACGTTGGGCTGTCTTCCCTTAGTTAAAGGCCCTGTTGTAGAGGGTTAAGACAGACTGGTCAAGATTTGTGGATTATGTGGACATGAGAAAGGATTTTTCCATTTTTTCTTCCTCCTCTCTAAAATGGAGGGAGCACCCAAGCCCAGTTCAGAGGCCAGGGAACTCTCGACTTCTTTTGAGGATGCCAGAGCACTTCTCTTGCCTTTAGGGACAGGAAGCTAGATCAAAATGGTCCTCACACCAAGAGCACAGATGAGGTGGGCACAGCGAGGGCTTGTCTGCAGACAACTCATGATGCAATCAAGTTCAAGGCAATAAGAAAACCATACACAAAATCTTTCTACCTGAGTTACCAACCCAGGCACTTGCTATTTCTGGTCATAGGCAGCCTAGAAGCCATTCTATCACCAGGGTACACATCCCATCTTGGTTAGACAATCCTTATGTGGGGTGGTGGACATTGACGAGAAGGGAACATGCCTACAGAGCAAAGCGGTGAGCAGCAGCCCTCTAATATGGCACGGGTCCTGCTAACAATGGCCCTGTTTGTTGTGTCTGCCAGGAGCTTCTGCACCTGCTCCACTTGATTAATGACAAATAGCAACAGATGAGCAGAGCAGAGGATGCTGAAAGCTTTGTCTGTGTGCAGCCCACGCAAGCAAAGCAGTTCCCCTGCCAACAACCAGGTGGCTTTGCCCAAATATGGAGAAACACTTCGGGCCATTAGTTCTGGTTGGAGCTAAGCAGAATAAACTAATCTTCCTCGGACCAAATGGGAATTAGCTGCCTGCCTCTCCAACATTCACAGTCAAGGTCCTCGGAGCCTGCATGTTTCACAAGTACTTGCTAATGGATTCATTAGCTATTTATTTTTCCTTCTCTAAAAATGTAATTTACAGCAAAGGGAAATCTCTGAAAGGACACGGTAAATTATTAAAAGCCATCATCTTTGGGTAGTGAGATTATGGGAGTTCTTTTGGTCCCATCAGGCTTTTTTTTTTTTGATAATTGTTTTTTACATTGTATACATACAGATTTTCTTTCTCTCTCTGGAGAAACCTGCAAAAGTTATTTTCTTCAAGAAATAATTTGTCTTTCTACTTGGCTGGGCTAAGCATGTGGGCACTGACTGCAGTCTGAAAGGCCCATATCAGTGTTCACTCAGACAAACCAGGTCCCTTTGGAGGTAGAAACATGTAATTTTATTTAGTCATATTTCCACCTGCAGCCCAGACATACTCTTGGGGATCCCCACCATGTGGGCCGGGGGGCCTTGCTCCCCAGGACTTTGGAACGGTCTTACTTTTTCAATGTAAACGAACTCCAAGAAACCAGATTTTCAGAGCCATGCATGATCCAAATCTACAGTGTTCGGTTACTTTGGTCATCAGCCTATGGCACTGCTCCCTGTGGAGCCAAACTCTGTCCCCAACATACAATGTTATTCTCATCTGGAAGCCGAGGGACTTTGCTTCTGAGACTTTGTCCTAGAGATTTTGTCTTGGCTAAAACCAGCCTTCCACCCATCAAACTACTGCAGGCCTGAGGTTCACAGGTTCCATCTCAGGACTCTCTGGAGTTCTCAGCTTCCCTATCTAATTCCTGTGTTCCTCGCATGTGAAGGAGAGAGACAATCAGAGAAGAACACTGAGGAACTTCAGGAGAAAGCTGCCCAGCCAGCAATGTTATCATACAGCCTATAAGTATGTATCACCAACTCAACAACCCACCAGCCCAGAATCACAAAGCAACGAAGTCAGAACAAAACAAAAACAAAAACAGCCAGGCACAGGCGGCGTATAATCCTAGCTACTCAGGAGGCCCAGCTCTGAGCATCACAGTTTAACGGCAGCCTGGGAAGACAAATCCAAGAGACACTTATTTCCAATTAATCAGCAAAAAGCTGGAAATGGAGGTGTAGCTCGAGAGACAGAGCACCAGCTTTGAGCAGAAAAGCTGGACATTCAAGCCCTGGTACTGGCACAAAAATAAACCAACAAACAAAGCTCTCTAGTCTCAGGAATGAGCCATTTCCTTAGGCTGGGCTTCCTTTCCAGAGGGTCTGGGGACCCTGTGGAGAAACTGTAAACTCTGACTTTTGAACAAGTAGTAAGACTATTTTGTACTTCTGTGGGCCTCTCTTTGACCTGTTTAGAGTTGGAGCCCTTGCAGTTTTTCCCAATTGGGGGAGCCTAGGGCCCCTATTTGTGTGTCCCATTTGACACACATGCAACTTTTCGCCATATCTCACAGTCAGTCTTGGTCTTAGCATATGCTTGCCTGGTGGGGGGCCATGACTCACGTTAGCTAATGATGTTGTCCTTGCCTCCCAGATTCTGAGTCAGTGCAATCTGACAGTGTGGGAGAACCTGCTAGGGACCATCCAGCCCTACCCCACAACCACAGAGTGCCATACCTCCAAAGCCTGACTTCCAGTTCCTGTTGAGGTCCACACCAATGCAGAAGATGCCTGGTCTGCTTGACCTGTTCTTCCGCCACAAGCGGTTCTGAGAAAGTCCAGGTCAGGTGACCTCATTCACTGGGCCCACGCCCAGGGATAGGAGCGCTGACATCCTGACCCATGAACAGGGGTCTGGTGGGGCAGAAAGGAGCAAAGGGAAGGAACCTCTAGGACAGGATGGGGCTGAGCCTGCTGAGACTGTAGATCAGATATTGATTGGGAGATTGAAGCCGGGCCTTGGGAAGAGAGAGGCCTGAGCACTGATCTTCCCTGAGCAGCAGGCAGGAGGTTGCAGGGCACAAGGCCACAGCCCTTGGAGGCCCTCCAGTCCTTAGCCAGGCTCTCTGCAGGAAGCCCCTAAAGGGGCCAGCTTCAGAGACCATGGTAACCTAGCCCTCACCCCAAGCTAGTTCCCCAGGTGCCCTCACCATGGTGTGGGTAAAAGCAAACCCATCTGGGTTGGTGACAAGTTCTATGAAGATATCCATGTCTTTCAGTGTATTTGTCAGAACAGGATCTTTGCCGTATGCACTGGCAATCTGCAAAAAGGACAGATAAGAGGCCTTGCAGGTGGCGCAGGACATTTGCACAGCCAGTAATACAGGAAGAGTGGCGTCAGGCCATCTGAATATCCCCGCATGCAGAAACAAAGATTTAGGTTTGAAATAACTGAAAGACAGAGAAGAGACGTAGACCCTGTACTTGCATAAAGTCACAGCACGTGGCGGCTTAGCCCGAAGGTCCAGAATTTAGGGGAACTGAGTCTAACTTTTTGACTGCAGTGTGAGCAGCCCCTCCCCACTGGCCCCATCCCCCTGGTGGCTGCCTCTCAGCTGCAGCTCCCTGCTGACCTTCTTGGCAGTCCAGATGCCAGTGGCGTGGGTGATCCACTCCCGAGAGTGGATCCCAGTGTCAATCCAGATGGCTGGGCGCTGAGACCCTCCAGTGCTGAACTGGAGGAGGGGAAGAAACAGACCCCCCAGACAGAGGTATGTCCAGAGACAGTGATGCTGCTCCCCTAGGTTTCCTAGAAGGAGGCCCCAGGAACACTCTCACCACCTAGGAAGCATGCATGTGTCCTTTGCTTTTAGCCCAGGTGAGGGGGTGCATGCAGGTACCTGTGTGTAGGCCCAGGAAGTGCACACATGGAGGGAACTCTGGCTTGTGGTGGTATACTTGCAGGACAAAGTGATCCACCCAGAAGCACAAAGTTGAGAGTGTTGGAAATGTCATAAGACTAGTGCTTCTCAAACTCTCATGGGCCCAGGTATGCCCCAGAGAACTGAGGAGGGGTCTAAGGGTCAGCACTCCTGACACACATGCTCCCTTGCCGTGCAAGGTCTTAGCTTTAGAGAGACTACAATAGTGTCTGGTCCAGGATGGAAGCAGAAACATGAAAGGCCAAGTTAGGCAAAGCCATGTGGCTCTTTGGGAACATCCACTGGAGCCTTGGCAAGATCAGCAGCACCTGTGTACCCTGGGCCTTGACATCAAGTGTCCCACACGGTCCACACTCCTGGCTTCCCTTTAGGGCATGCATTAAGGATTGTTTTCCAGTGGGATCTGCATGCATCCGCCTGCTTCCTTCGTGGCCAAGGGCACTGCAGTTGCCACATTTGCTCAAGTTCTGTTCCAGTGGCCCTGTGAAGGGCTGCGTGGTTTCCCTGGAGGCTCAGTCCTATCTGTGGAACTCCCTGAGCCAGATGACCTCAGTCATTGTCAAATGAAGCCTCTGCATACTTCTTTTCCTAGTTAATAGATAAAGCAACCAAACGAACAGGAAGAACACTGACTCACCCATTCACCCCAAGTCCAAGGTGACAACTGCCTCTCTGCTGCTCCATCTCCTTAGCAACCCTCCCACTACTTCCTGGCACCACTGCATCGTCACCTGGCCACACCTACAAGGGTGTGTCCCTAAATGACACATCTCAAAGTTCATGGGTCATCTGGGGGCAGTAGTATGCAACATCTTTCCTCTGCCCCAAACTCCCACCCTGCCACTCCCCATGAGCCCGGCCTTCTGGCAGAGGCCCTTGCTATTGAGTTTCTATTTAAACTGTTACCTTTGGTGAGCTTTTACCTTTAGGACAAAAATGGACCGATTTTCAAAGCTGTTGCCGATGTAAATTTTGGAGACAAGATCTGAATGCTCAGTTCTAAAGTTGTCCATCCAGTTATATATCTAAAAGCAATGGAGTCTATCAGATTAGCAATTGAGTAGGTAGAGAAGAGAACCTCAAACATCTCTGAATTTTCTCATTCCCCATTTCACCCTCTTCCTTGCTGCCCCACTTTCCCTAAGAGTCTAAAAGAACCCAAATCAAAAATTGCAAAATCCAGGTGGCTGCCAGTAGTTCACACTTGTAATCCTAGCTAGTGGATCTCAAAAGCAGTCCACAAGACCCCTTTCTCAACCCATAGTGAGGCATAAGGCGCACACCTGTCATCCTAAACTATGTGGGAGACCCAGGTTGGGAGATTGGGAGGATTGAATTTTCAGGCCAGCAGGGCAGAAAAGTCAGCAAGATTCCATCTCCATGGCAGCTAGCTGGATGCAGTGGCATGCACTTGTGATTCCAGCAGCAATGGTTAGTCTATGCATGTGATTCCAGCTCAGGCACAAGCCCAGGTGGGAATCAAGAGCCTGTCTCAGGCTGGGAAGGTGGCTCAGTGGTAGAGCACTTGCCTTGCATGCATGAGGCCCTGGGTTCCATCCCTCAGCACCACATAAAAAAAAAAGCCAGAAGTGGCGCTGTGGCTTAAGTGGTAGAGTGCTAGCCTTGAGCTGAAGAGCTGAAGGACAGTGCCCAGGCCCAGAGTTCCAGCCCCATAACCGACATTTAAAAAAAAAAAAAAAAAGGTAAAAAAAGAGCTTGTCTCAAAAGTGGCCAGCAATAATCCCAGGGTGGTGTCAAAGTGGTAGAGTGCCAGTCTACCCAGAAATTGCAAGTCCCTGTGTCCAAACCTTCCTCCAAAAAGGAGGAAGAGGAGGAAGAGGAGGAAGAGGAAGAGGAGCAAGAGAATAAGAAGTAAAAAGAAGGAGTGGAGTAAAAAGAAGAGGTGGCCGATGGAGGAGGAAGAAGAGGAAGGGGAAGAAAAGGAAGAGGAGGAAGAAGAAGTGGTAAGCTAGAGGCAGGTGGTGAAGGAATAGGAATAAAATCTTAAAAGGCCCTCAGAGCTCAGAGCAGTGAGCCCAGCAGGGAGTCTGGCATTTGCAAGTGCAGTTATGACTTTGCCTGGAAGAACAACATTGGCTGAGCCTTTTCAAATCTCCAGAAATGGTTCTCTGGTAGAAATTCTCTCTGCCTTCATTCTTTGGCCATCCAATCCATTTAAAGATCTCTCACAAACCCTTTTAGACTCTCGGTCCATTGAACGTAAAAATTATGCTTTATCTCTGTCATCAATAAGTGAAAGACTACATTAATTCATTCTTTTGTCCTTTCAATATACATAACTGAATCAAGAAATAGATGAATCTCAAATGGATCCTGTACTATAGGTCTTACAAAATGAGAAACGTACTTATAAACAGAGTGGATGATATCAATGATGTCATGTCCTTTATAAGAAATAATGGACCCAGTGTCTTGAGTTCTCTCTGGGGTGGACATCCTTGTATCCTCCTTGTGTATTGTCCCTTATAAACAAGTCACCATTGGTCATAATTGCTCTAACTGTTATCATCTCTGTAAGTGAAGGCAACTCTTGCTGATTCTTCTAGAATGGCTCTCCAATGTGCCTGACTTCCCACCCCTCACACCTTAAGTACTCACCGATGGGGTGAGCACCAGGACTGGTCGCAGAAGGGGTCAATGGATCACTGGGCAGAGGATGGGATATGAACGGAGAGCCTCTGCCTACTCTGCCTGTGATGGATTTCTACTTTAGTGTGCCTAGATCCTTTTCTCAGCTTGGTACTTGCTTAGGGCTGTTCTGCTGAACTTTGATCTCTTCTTTTTGACTCCTGGCTTCTAGACCTCTTTTTTCCTTCCTCCAGAGTCTTTGTTATTGTTATTAGTATCTTTGAGTGGTTGCACAAAAGATTTGCCATTCAACAAAGTAGTTTATGAATACGGCACATCTAGAGCTCTTTCTAAAGCTGCCTGTCTGCCTACTTGACATTTACTTAATCTCTTCTCTGCACTCATCAAGTTGGCAGTCTCCAATAGACCCCAGCATTCGTCGCTGGTTTCTGTCTGAGTCTGGGGACTCCATGGGGCTCAGAGGCACAAGAAAGCCTAGACTTTGCCCAGACCAACCTACCTCATCCAGCGTGTGGTAAGAAGAGTAGCTGAAGCTACTGGTGCTGCGTTCCAGCCGGCGAGATTTCGCCATGGCTTCTCTCTCCTCATCCAGCAGCACCTAGGAGATAGGAACATACATTGGGAGACAGGAGAGAGTTGAGCCACCTGGCCTTTTCTGAGCCCTGCCTCTGCCAGCTGTATTAAGAACACAGGGGAATAAGCCACCAGGAGTGTGAGCCACACAACTGGAAATGTGGTTGCTAGATGATTCTCCTGATGAAACACTAATATTCATGCTGCCATATCTCAAATGAACACAGAACAGGACAGCTGAAGAGCTGGGTTCTAAGTGTGTTTCTTCTACCTTTCTTTCTTTCTTTCTCTTTCTTTTTTTCTTTCTTTTTTTCCTTTCTTTCCTTCCTTCTTTGTTTCTTTCTTTCTTTTTCTTTGTCGTTTGTGGGGATTCAACTCTGGGCCTGGATGCTGTCCCTGAGCTCGTTAGCTCAAGGCTTTGAGGCACAGCACCACTTTGGGTTTTCTAGTTGGTTAATTGGAGATTAGAGTTTCATGGGCTTTCCTGCCCAAGCTGGCTTTGAACTGCAGTCCTCAGATCTCAGCCTCCTGAGTAGCTAGGATTATAGGCGTGAGCCACCAGCTCCTGGCTTCTGCTACCAACTGTGTATGGAACATACTGTAACCTTAGTTTCTCACCAGCTAGAGCAAATATGGTCAGTAATGACTTGTTTATAAGGAAAAATATAGCAGGAGGACCCAGATCTTTCTGCCGATACAAGATCTTTCACAGGACATTTCTTTCTGTCCACTCCAGAAGAGCTCAAAACACTTGTCTCATTTTTCCTGTAAAGGACATTGATATCATCTACTCTATTCTTATCTTTATCTTCCTCATTTTATAATGAGACAGTCATTATCGGTCATACTACCTCATAGGGTGAAATGTAACATTGGATATGAAGATGTTTTGGAAAGGATCGGCATTGTCTACTCTCAACATTGCCTTCACTCTTTATAAATATTCCGTGGCTTATGACCCACGCTGACCTATGGACACTGATCTCCTGCTGGGAATAGAAGGTTTCTCAGACTGCCAACATCGCCTCTCCCCCAAAATAGCCTAGACAACTGGTTTCCAAGCCATTCTGAGAGCTGGGTATGGACAAAACAGTCAAAATCATGGTGGATATGCCAATGGTCTTTAACTCACTATCTTAACTGCCTCCTAAACACACCTTAAGACCAACTTGTTTGTGGCACTTCCCGCTGGCCATAGAGAAGGCAATCAAGTACATAGGTTAGGTTCACTACTCACTGCTCACCCACACCGTCTTAGGACACTTTGGACAGCTTGGGTCACGGTGAGATGGACAGGTGCTTTCCACCTAAGTTTATGCCCTTACCTTGGCAGTGGGGGGCTGAGGTACTCTAGGATTCAGCACGGACTCTCCAATATGGGGAGTACCTGGGCCCTCAGCCCCAGAGAATGCTTATCACAGTTTTACCAACCCATAGATGCTTCTTATCTGCAGCTCTGGGTCACAAGTCTGGAAAATGTTCTGCAGTATTTCAGACCAGTGCCTTTTGAGTTACTAAGCATATTTATCCCCAGGATATCAGTTGAGCTGGGCAGATTCCAGGACATCTCTTATATCTTAATTCTTAGTGTTTTAGAGATAAAGCAGACTGGAGAGGTGGCAGGACTTAATAGCAAAGCTCACAAGTATTCAAGATAAGGTAAGAACCAGATATCCTAGACTTTGATTTCTTAAGCCCAGCTACCAAAATTAAAGGCCAACAACATAGTATATACATAGATAAGCAGACAGATAGATATAATTCTATGTTTGTATGTATAAATATAGAGAGAGACAGAAAGGGGAGGAGAGAACACAAATATGCAAAAAAGTTAACATCTGAGAAATCCATCACACTGTTATTTTTTTTATTTTAAATTACCATATGGGAATTGACCTCAGGGGCTCAAGTGCTCTACCAATTGAGCCACACCCTCCGTCCTTTTGCTGTTAGTTTGTTTTTCAGGTAGGATCTCATATCCTCCTACCTCGGCCTCCTAAGTAGCCTGGATTACAGACAGGAAAAGCCCTATCATACTATTCTTACAATTAAAAATTTGTAATTAAAAAAAATCAAAGCTCAAGTACCTCCAAACACAGAAAAATAAGACACTAAAATACCAAAAATGTACACTAAAATGCCACAAACACCTGTTAGGTAGCAAGCAATTTTCCCCTCTATTTTTATATCTTTGCAATGTGCTTATACTTCTTCAGTGATTAAGGACTCTTAAATGAGCAAACATAACCCAAACCCAATGCTCTAATGGCTAACGTGAAGTCACAGCTGTGAGATCTACAATCCAGGGGTTGGAAGGGGGGGGAGTGCATCCTGATTACAGATGAGGCTGCTTGCTGCTGGCCAGTGACTCCCTCATCCCTGAGGATCTGGTCCCCTTACTTACAACTCTCAAGTTCATACATTTCAACATGGGACTGGAAACCAATGTCTGAGGCTCAGTTATAATTGCATTCTTTCCTTCGCTGGGTTGGCCAGGCTAGGGGTTCCCGCTTGGGCACAGCTGGGATTACTGGTTAAGTGAGACATGGTTGATGGAGTCCTGATTCTCACCAGCCATTCACAGGCATGACTCTGGGAAGGTCTAACTAAAGGAATGTGTCTCCTCCCCAGGAAATCCCAGGATTTCCCAGGAAATCACAGAGGCCCACTGTGACCAATGTGTGTCTGCCACGGTGGGCCGGTGCAGCCAGCTGTGGAGAACAGCTGTAGAAAGAAAGCAGCGAGCCAGGGCTGGTCTATTCCTGCGAAGGCCTCCCTAGAATGATGTTTTGGGGTTCCCTGCTCAATGTCCTAGGGCAGAGTAAGGGTCTGAGATGGGGTAGAGAAATTGGAAAGAAAGGACCCAGAGGACCCAGTTCTTCCCACATAGCCAGGGATCCCTACAGGAAGAGAGTCCCTAAGGGGCTATGCGTTGTTCCACAAAGCAGCTTGGAGGCAAATGAGAGATCTGGATTAAACTGCAAACAACTTTGCAAACTCCCTCCTAGCCTTGGGAATATGCTCAGCCCTCACAGCTGGGCCCAGATTCCAGGAACATTAATCTACCCAGGCCTGAAAACTGCACAAAATGTTTGATCCTTTTCCATGGTGAGGCCATGGATTTAGGATATCTAAGACAGCCCTGTCAGTCTCCTCAGGAAATGAGAATGAGAGGAGGAGATCAAGACACTCTGAAATAAGCCTACCATTACCTCCCTAGAAACCATACCATGACAGGAGCAGTGATACCTTGGTTACATTCATTTATGACAGGGGTGAGAAAGAGTCTGGGCATTAAGCAAGGAACAGCACCCCCAGGGATGAGAAGGGAAGACACTGAGTCTGAAAGCTGAACAGAGGCCTGACCTCTCTACAACTGACTTCCAATTCAGACACGCATGCATGCAAATCAAGGAAACATGTGGAGTCCTTGGGTTGGCAGCAGGTATGTCCCTTTCTCTTCCAGGCTGACCTTTGCTACGGAGGCACCATAAGTGGAGGGAGGCTACAGATCTGGTGCTAGAATGGAGTCTCTCAGTGGTCAAAATGGAAGCCCTGGCTTCACTGCCCAAAGTCAAGTTGAAACACCACACAAGCAACCATCACGAAGGCTGAGAAGGCAGGTGGTACTAGAACGGAGTTTGGTTGCAGAGCCAGGCTGTCTCCACTGACAGTATCACTAATCTCAAGTAAATTACTAACTTCTCTGGGCCTCAGTTTCCCCTCATGAAATGTGGGTCACGTAATCACATCCTTTCAAGTGTTCTCCTGAAGATTAGGATTCATCCCAGGTTGCCTGGCTTGTAGTTGCTAGCAAATGTTAGCAATGATGACAACCAGCACAGTGACAAGGACAGCAGGGTAACACTAAGACTCGGTGATAGATCATAATCAGCACGGCTAAAACAATCGGGATTCCTTCACAGGAAACATGGCAGCTGTTGGAGATGATAACTTGGATGTTAGCCAGCCACCTGTCCCTCATGTGGCCCAAAAACAGGGGACTGGTCCTCTCCTGTCCCTGCCCTCCAGATCCAGCCAGACTACTTCTACCTTGGGGCCTTGCCAATGACTGCTCCCTTCCTGTTGTCTTCTCCTGCAGTGCTCTTGACTGTCCTCCGCTCATCTTTCCAGCTGCCACCCACACCACACCACACCTGGCAATGGCCCTTCTGCTCTTTAAAAACCCTTTTGTTGGGCAAACATTTGTTGAGTGCACACCACGTATTGGGCACAAAGAAGATGGAAAGCTACAAAGAAGCTCTGTCTCTTCCTGGAGCTTCTGAGAAGGCAGATCAACAAGGAAAGCTGTTGATGATGGAGGACAGGGAAGTAGTAAATGCCAAGAGGGGAGCAGGAATCTGGGGAGATGGGAGAGAAGAAGGGTCCAATTTAAAATAAGGTGAAGTGAGCCAGGTACCAGTGGCTCATGCCTGTAATCCTAGCAACTCAGGAAACTGAGATCTAAAGATCATGGTTCAGGGGCTGGGAAGGTGGCTCAGTGGTAGAGCACTTGCCTTGCATGCATGAGGGCCTGGGTTCGATTCCTCAGCACCACATAAGCAAAAAAGAAAAAAGCCGGAAGTGGCGCTGTGGCTCAAGTGGTAGAGCGCTAGCCTTGAGCTGAAGAGCTGAGGGACAGCGCCCAGGCCCAGAGTTCAGGCCCCATGACTGGACCCAAAAAAAAAAATTTTTTTTTAATTAAAAAAAAAAAAAGATCATGGTTCAAAGCTGGCCAGGGCAGGAAGAGCCATGAGATTTCTATTTCCAATTAACCTCCAAAAAGAATGGAGCTGTGGCTCGAGTGGTAGAACATCAGCCTTGAGTGAAAAAGCTAAGGGAGAGTGACTGGTACTAAGTACCAACACACACACACACACACACACAAAGTAAAGCTGGGCATGGTGGTACATGCCTGTAATCCTAGCACTTGAGAAGGCTAAGAAGGCAGGAGGATTCCAGGTTTAAGGCAGATCTGGGCTATATAACAAGACCTTGTATCAAAAATCCAACAAGATTGAAAGCAGTGAGCAAATGAGTCCCTGCAGTTATGAGCAGGAATTGCATTCTAGGGATAGGGACTGGTCAAGGCCCCTAAAGCAAGAATAGGTCAAGCAAGTTCGAGGAACATCAAGGAAGTCTACAAGAGCCAGGGACAGAATGGTCAGTGACATGGAACAGAGCCTAGAGAACTGATGCCTCATGACCCCTTTAAGGACTGTGGCTTTTTCTTTGAAAGTGTTGGGAAGAGGCCACTGAAGCATCTTCAGCTGGGGAGGGACACAATTAGCCTTGTGTAGTGTGTGTGTGTGTGTGTGTGTGTGTGTGTGTGTGTGTGTGTGTATTCATGTGTGCTGATACTGGGGCTTAAACCCAATACCTGGAAGTTGTCCCTTAGCTTTTCACTCAAGGCTGGCACTCTACTACTTGAGCCATAACTCTTCTACCAGCATCTTGGTGGTTAATTTGAGGTAAGATTCTCTTGGATTTTCCTGCTAAGGCTAATGTCAAACTGTGATCCTCCGCTCTCAGCCTCCTAAGTAGCTAGGATTACAGGTGGGAGCCACTGGTGCCTAACTTAGATTTGTGTGTTTTTAAAGGACCCCTCTGGCTGCTGAGAGGCAGAGTAAGCAAGGGTGAGACTGGAGAGAGCAGTCAGACATCTACTGGGCTAATTTGACAGTGGCTCGATGGCATGCTAGCGTAGAGTGGTAGTATGGGATGTGCTGAGAAAGACTGAGAACAGCCCAGAGGATTTGCTGGTAGGTTAGCTGTGGGCTATGAGAGAGAGTGAAGAATGAGTTCAGATTTCTTGCTCTGGGTGTCTGGAAGAGTCCACTGCAGTTTCCTGAACTGAGGAAAGCCCAAGTGAGGAGATGGGGGTGGGGAGGCTCAGTTTGGACCTATAAGATTTGTGATGCCCATCAGACACCCAGTGGAAATGGAGAAGGTGGTTGGCATTCAGGGAGAGGCACTGGATGGAGACACAATGGGAAAGTAGAAGGGATTTAGCATCTATACCTGGATGGGAGCATGGAGGAGTGAAGTCTAAAGACAGAGCTGGGAAAAGGAAAACTATTATGGCAGTGGATCAGCAAGACGAGAATGAGCCAGGACAGTTCAGTGTCTTGGCTGCCCAGAGTTCACACCTGATTCGGGAAGACACAAGACCAGCTGAGCCCGTCAAAAATAGACACTGACAGCTGACCCCTGAGTTGGACCTAGAGTGTCATGTGCCATTATTAATTAAAGGACTGTCTGGTAAGTCAAGGGGCAGACAGATTGGCCAAGACAATGGGTGGTCACAGCAAAAATGTGAAAAGCCAGTGTTTCCTGGAGTTTTGATCTACAGGAAAAAACATTGTGGGTCCAGAGCAGGGAAGGGAAGGGATCAAGAGGGGTTTTGAAGATGGGATAAATAACTGTCAGTTTGTATGCTGATGGGAACAATCCAGGGGAGAGGGAGAAGCTGGCCACGCAATATTTACACTGAATAGTAATTGACTATAGATGACCAGAGCACGGGTGACTTGTTTTCTTCTATTTTTCCAATCATCTAACATGAATATTTATTAATTTTTGTAATCAGAAAATAAAAGCCATTAAAACCCACAGCACTGATTGCCGGTGTGTAGCTTTTCCATGGTGACTCATCCTGGAGAGAAAACAAAAAACAAAAAAAAAACACCAAAGGGCTGAAAAGAACAAACGAGAAGGTGAAGCCAAATTAAATGCAAATAGAGCTCTCTTAGAATCAGATCATTTCTTGCTTGGCCCACTGCAATTTCCTTACCACCTTCCTGCCTGTCAAGTCTCTCCCTGGCCCTGGCCCTCCCTCAACGCTGTCACTGTCAGAGTACAAATGCAAATCGGATCATCTCAAAGCGTCCAGGGCTTGAGGATAAAATCCTAGTGTCTGCAGAGGGTGGAGGATGGCCTTTTTGCAATGGGATCCAGCTCATCACCAATTGGGTTGAGAGCCCCCTGCCCCTCCCCCTCTCCTCCTTCCCAGCTCTTCAGTCACACCGTAATTACCTCCTTTCTCCACACCAGGACTAGCGGTGCCTCTCTCTCATTCGCTCCCATAGCAACCTGTTCTCAGCCACTCTATTGTAATCACCCATTCACGCCCCTCCATCCCATCCCCCACACCCTCCAAGATCCCTACATACGCTCCAAGATCCCTGCGTACAGCTCTGGGTTTTCTTTTTTTGTGTGTTCTTTTTTAATCTTAGTGTTTCTAGTACCTTGCTCAAAATCCAGCACACAGTAGGCATCTCTGTGTTTGTATGTGGACTGAATAATGCTCCCGCCTCATCTTCTCAAGCAGCAGCTAAGCCCCAAGCCAGGGAGGAGAGGAAGTACTTTCCTTCTCAAGAAGGTTTGCGAGCCAGGGTGCCTGTGGCTCAGGCCTGTAATCCTAGCCACTCAGGAGGCTGAGACCTGAGGATCACAGGTGAAAGCCAGCCTGAAGAGGACTCATATTTTCAGTTAACCAGCAAAAAGCTGGACGTGGAGTTATGGTTCAAGTGGTAGAGTAATTTGCCACACTCCCCTCAGCCCTAGCCATCAAACATCTTTTTCCTTTCCTCTTTCTTTTGCACACCCATTAATTCCACTAACAGTAAACGCCAACTGAGCCTCAGCAACAGGAATGTACAGATGACAAGAGTAATATTACTGAGCCTTGGTTGGGGAAGGAGAGGCAGCCAAGGAGACAAAGGTGGACCTATGAATGAGGACCCTCTGCACATGCGTGTTCTAACCTTCTAAACCTGTTCTAACATGTTTAGAGCATGTTCCTGGGAAGGACAACAAAGCCCCAGAGAAATTCAGGGGAGTCATCTGTAGAGGACAGGCAGATGACAACTCCCGAGGGACCACTGGGGGCCTCTGGAACTGTCCCTGATATATTGAAATCAAGAAACCTTTCCATGGTCAGTGCATATGTTTGTCAAATGCTGAGTGCCTCCCCACCCCTTTTCAGGGCATAGCAGAAGCAGGGAAATATGAACTTCAAAATAGAAGAGCAGGCTGAAAATGAGAAGTGAAGTTCTATTTCCTTTTGATGTGGCGGCCTCTTTTGTCTGGGGCAGTTTCTCCATTTTTGTTTGCAGGGCATTTAATTAGAGAAACATCCCACCCTTACATGTTGGGCGGGAAACAGATGTGCCTGATGAAGGATAAAGGACTTTGAATGGATGTGAGTGTCACAGCCCTGCGATCGCCTGGGAAAGGAATGCTGCCTAATGCGTTTATCCCTCGGCATGCGGTGTCAAGTGTATGTGCTGGGGAGGCTCCATGTTCCCACACTTAGTGCCCTTAGAAGAGATCATTGCTGAGCCACACGTTTGGGAATGAGTCTCAGTGGATACAATTCCACAGGTACAAGGCCAGCCCCAGCATCTGTACAAGGAGGCAGCTGAGCAGGATTACACTGAGTGGTACCCCCCAAAAACTTGTTCTGGTAGGAATCTGGGCAGTCAGCACATATCAGGGGGTCTTTGGGATATCCTTGGAGATCGAACAGATGAGCTGGAGTTTCATGGTGTTCAGGAAAGACATTAGCAGGTGCAGTGTCAAGTGGGGGGGCAGAGAGGTTGGGGTGCCAGGATAGGCTTCCCTTCCTCCTCCTCTGCAGCCAATCTCCCAGAGCTAGATGCAGTGGGAGGCAAAGCACGGCAGGGCTCCCCCTGGGCTTGTTTTCCTATGGACCACCTCCACCTCACGCCCCTGTCCTGCATAGCTGAGACACAATGGGGACAACGACATGAAAGCAAAGGAAGCCATCAGAAGCTAGGAAAGACTCAAGCACTTTCCTCCTGTATCCATCTTCCCCATCTCCGGCTTTGCTGCCAGCTACAGTCCTCCACAGGAGGACTCATTCAGAGAGTCCTTCCTGGCGCCCTGCTAAGAGTTCTCCCCACCCTCATGAACTCTGTCCTACGTTTAAAGTTTCTCTGAGACCTGCACAACTTAATTCCTTCCCTCATGTGTCCATTTACATGTAGAGATTCAAAAGCAAATGGCAGCTTTTAGGCCATTTTTCCATCATGATGGGCCTTCATCCGAAGAAGAATGTGAAGGGCAAGACCCTCACCACAATACCAGATGGGACCTCACCTGAATGTCCTTTATCATGACACTGTAGGCCAGGCCGTGCGACTCCAGATAAGCTTTGACATCGCTCAGTTCAGAGAAGGGAACTCTCATGTCCACAGGGAGGCTGGGTCTGGCTGGGCCACGCCAGAAGTCCACCTGGGTCACCGAGAAAAGAAAAACACTTGTGTTTATTCCTTTTTCCCTGCGCAAATCTTATAGGCGCCCTGGAGAGCCAGAGGGTTTCCTCTCTGATATTTAATAGCGCTCCACTTCCATAATGAAAGCTCTACAGTGAGCAGGAAGACAGAGACAAATAAACAAGCACACTCTCCAAGCGGTTAAGTCACTTTCTCTACTTCTATGCACCTCTCTCTTTCTCTTTCTCTCTCTCCCCCCCATTTTTCTCCCTCCTTCCTTCCCTCCCTCCCTCTCTCTATCCCACTGCGGCTTCGCCTGGATCCACAGAGCACTGAAGAGTTCCTCAAGGTGAGACTGTTCATCACTGGCACATTAACATAGACAAAGACTTCAGTAGAAAGCAGGAGGCTGCCATTGCTCCTGGAAAAGCAGAAAAGGCCTAAGCGGAGATCAGGTTCTGTGCTTGGTTTTCAATTTATAAACTATAGACACTTAGAAAATGGCTCATGACAAGGACACACATACAAATAGAAGCAAGGGCTTTGGGCTACTTTCCTAAATAGCCAGTCGTTTCTCCAGCTCTCAAACAAAACCCTTCTATTATCATGGCAGAAACTGTTTTCCATTATGAAAACTGGTGGAGACAAATGTTCCGAAAAACAAACACTCCAGCTGACAAGGAGGAGCCCAAATAAAACACAGGTTTGCTAAGCTAAGTGATTTCAGTCAGGAGGTAGAGCTGTCCAGTCCCAGTGCTTCATAGCACCCCACCAGGGACATCTGTGCTTCCTGTGTGGGTTTAGGACCTTCCAGCTGTTTCCAGGATGCATTCAGCAACTGCCCCTCTGTGACAGAGGGGAGGGCTAAAAAGACCACCCAGGTTTGTAAGCGAATGTTAAGGTAGAGAAACCACATGTGACTTTGCCACAAATTAGTGATCATTGGTGGGTTCCTAGGTGGGCAAGTTCGGGGTATGGAGAGCTGGACAAGGAGCTGAGGTGTACCTGCTGGAGTGAGGGAGAGCTGGCCCCAAGCCCTGGGCACTCCTCACCTTTTGGGGCTTCAGGCCCTCTAGATCCCTGAGAAGTGACAGCTGCTTCTCATCTTTGGCCAGGACTCGAAGAACCTGGTCCCTGGAAAGACATAGAGAAGACAAGAAGCTGCAGAGGGTGCCTCCCGGAAGTCTAGCGCACTTGAAAGAGGCAGAGTGGAGAAGAGGGTCAGTGTGGAGATCTGGCAGGAAGGACTCAGAGTTCTAAGAGCTAGGCAATCCTTTAGCTTAGAACTGGTGGTCACTCCAAACCCAAGCCTAGTAAGGAAGGAAGGGAAAGGACCCTGTGTATGCACACACATGGGAATAGAAGGAAGAAAGGGAAGAGGGGAGAAAGGCAAAGAGTACAAGGGCTCAGGGGACCCGTAATGGCCCTGAGACTGAACCCTTCTCTAGGCTGCGTCTCCTCTTCTCTGAGAACATCTATACGTCATGTTCACAGAGGTCCTGGTATATACTAGAACTTACTATTATTTGAAGGACAACAGGGATACATCTATTGGAGTAGGAGTACATAGCCTTGTAGAGATCACTATAGTCTTCAAGAAACAGGAAAGCTATGTACCCTTCACTCCCAACGAAGTACCTATGCAAAAACTGTGACACGTGATTTTGGAGAATTCCTGGGGCCCTAAAAACAATTCTGAACCCTAGACTAAGAACTCCAGATTTCGGGAGGGATAATGACAGGATGAGACAAGGGAAACTCAAGTGGGTTTTGGATAGCAATTCTAACTTCACCTCGGTCACCTAGCAGGATGACCACACCACACACACACACACACACACACACACACACACACACACACACACACACACACACACACACACACACACAGATCTGGATCTTCTCATTCCCAGCTGGTCTTCCTTCCCACTGAACGAACGACTCACCCTGTGAAATTCATCTGGCCCCAAGCTGATGCCAAGATAAAGCTGTAGAGCAAGAGTATCCATCCACAGGAGACAGGCCAGGCCCTTCCCGGGGGAATACCCTGCATGCTTCTTCCTCCAGGCAAGCTTCAAGGGCTTTCCTCGTGCCCAAGCATGGTGCAAGCTCTGGACAGACAGTACAACACATAAAGGCCAGCAGACCTGGGCTGAGAATGGGTATTAGGCTCTGTGGGGACCCAGCATGTGGTTCCCTGAGGTCAGACCCCTCCCCACCCACTTCTGGGAGAAGGGGGGAAAAAAAGGAAAAGAAAGCCATATCCTCATCTTTTCTTTCCTCTCAGGGATGGGAAAAAGGTTGGCTAGGCCAGTTCCCTCCTGAACATCAAATCTTCCATCTCCAGACAAAGAGGGGTAGTTAGTAGCCCTGGGCTGTTACTCCTTTCTTCCCTCCCCTAAAAAAATTGCTCTTTTCCATCCCTTGTCCCTCCCCATCCACTCACACTGTCCCTGGGCCATATCTTCCTTACACAGAAAGGCATGGACGTCATTGACAGACCACTGGGCTCAGAGACAGAGAACGGGGTGCTCAGGATCTGGGACCTCTGGCCTAATCTAGTCACAGTTAACTGTTAAGTGGGGTCAATAATATCTCCCCTCCCTACCTCACAGGGGCTTTGGGGCATTAGATGAGACAGCCTGAGTGAATAAACTTGGCGAAGCCTACAAAATATAATGTATTATAATTTCAAAGGCATTGACCCTGAGTCGCAGCTGCAGTCTGTATTAGGTCTGTATTCCAGTTGCAACCAAGGGACAAGAGGGGAGAACAGAGAAGAGAACAGGGAGGGGAGCTAAGTAAGTATATACTGTATAGGGGGAAAAAATCCAACCAAGATGTTTTGTCTCTCTCTTCAGGGTGTCACCGGTCTGCTGGGACAGGCAGGACATGGAGACCACAATAGTCATGAGTACAATTCTCCATGTACAGTTCATTTCTCAGTCCTGCGGAAGCCCGTCCCCTCCCCACCCCCCTGCTCCTAATTATGGCCTGGGAATAGTAGGAGAAAACAATGCAGTCATACTGGAAAGAAGAGGCCTGAGTGACAAATTTAACAGAAAATCTACAAGAGGTAAGAAAAGACAGAGATGAAATCCACCCAAGATGTTACACACAGGCTGCCAACAGAAGGCCACTTAACTGTCACCAGAAGTTTTCAGAAGCCCCCCTCTTCAGCCATACTATCCCAGAATGCCCAATTAACTGGCCATGTGCAGAGAAAGAGCTCTTCTGTTGCAAGAATGCCCTGGTCCTGGCCTCTCCTGCCCTACTCCATTACTTCATGGGTCAGCTGATCAGATGCCCCAGGCTCTCCTAGAGCCCCGACCTTGGTGATTCTCAGACAGTAGCATCAGCAAAGAGTTTAAGGAAACTAGAAAGGAAAGCAATTATGCAAGCAACATGCAGCTTTAGCAGCAATGGGAATAAAAGAATGGGCTGGTGAACAACAAATAGCTCAGAATGAAGAGGGGAAAAAAGTGAGAATGGTACTAGTCACCAAAAGCTCCCAGCATCTTCTTGTTCAAAAGCATCTTTTTAAGTCAGTCACAATGAGACAACTATTCCTGGACTTTGGTTTAGGAATGAGAGAGACAGAAAGAATGAAAGTGAGAGCAAAAGAGAGAGAAGCAGAGAGGAACAGTTCGGAATTCTTGGGAATTCTACAGCAGCACTTCCATAGAACTTTCTGTGATAATGGAAATGTTCTACATCCATGTTGTCCAGTAGAGTAGTCATTAGCTACTTGACATGTGGTGCATGTGACTGGGGGCTTGAGTTCTTTATTATAATCAAATAAAATTTCAGCAGCCCCGAGGCTACCATGTTGGACGGCAGAGTACATGGGAAGCCACCAATTCTAAAAGCATTACTTTCATGGGCTGAATTTGAAGCTCTGCTTGGCCATTTTAATACTTCGTAGTGGTTTCTCACTCATAACTAATTATCCATTAATCCTTTGCTCAGTAAATAGGTAGGGAACATTTATAGGCACTTGCTGACGTCTAAGGAGTAAAATGGAGACTGACACAGCTCTGGTCCTGACATTTCTAATGGGGTAAGTAGACAATAAACTTAAAAAAGCATACAGGTAATGGAAAGATAGACCATTGTGGATTGCTGTCTCAGAAGAGTACATTGTACTCTAGGACTCCTAACAGACTCCCTAAAATTTTCCCTTAAGAAATTTTGTCAGAGCACTTTTCTTTCCTGGAGATGGGCAGATTAGATACCTACACAATTCAGCCTCAAACAACTGAAATGTGATATACAATACTTGATTAATAACTTTTCTAACATATCACTGGCTTGGCACAAAAAGAATTTACAGATGCTAAATAGTTGTAGAAAGAGGTGTTTACCTCAGAGGTAAACACGCTTTCCGTGGGGATTTCTGGAAACACTGGAGCTCTGCATCTTCCTCCTAAAAGATGTCCCTATATCGAAGGTCACTTTTTTTTTTTATTGAAGTCTCTCTTTTCCAACTTTCCTTGAGCAGAAGTTTCTTTGTATTCATTTGAAAATTATTTGAAAGAGTTTTAATGGGCATAAATTCTAGATTGATTATTGTGTTTCTGCCAACATACTGAAAAAAAATTACCCAACAATCTTCTGGCTTCTATTTCAGAGTTTAATCAGTTGGTCTACTTCATGTTTGCTTAGGATGGGATTTTTTTCCCTATTCCCCATTGCTTTGATGATCTCTTTGCTTTTGATGTTCTATAATTTTATTATCATATATTCTTCAGATACACCATTATACATCTAGGTACACATTTCTTTTGTTCTCTCCTGGCTTGAGGACCATTTGGTTTCCTGTAGTTGAATATCACTCTTTTTCCACTGTTTGCAGTTCTTTTCAGCTATTGTATTTTCTATTCTCTCTTACCTGCATCTAGAGCTTTGGAGTCGTTTCTTAGGCCTTTTCATGTTATCCTTCAAGACCTTGAACCATTCTGTTGTATTTTAATTTCATTGTCTTTCTGGGCTACATTTTAGAAAATTTATTTGTATCAAACATTTGTTTCTTTATTCCAGTTAACTGATTTTCTCATTGACTGAATTTGATATGTGATTTAATCGATCTGCTAAGTTTCAATTTTCAATTACTTATAGTATGCTGATTCTGAAACATTTTTCCCCTGCATTTTAACACCTCTGAAATCAAGATGCTTCACACAATTGGTGACATATTGTAGTGATAAGTGGCAGTGTTTGATGGCACATAAAATTATGGTACATCTATAATCATTTCTGTTTTATAGTCAACACAATATGGTATTCACTTTTTCACTTTTAGAAGTTCTATTTAATATTTTTAGCTCAAGTTATCCAAATTCCTTATCTATTTTAGAACTTCTTTGCTTCTTTAAACATACAAAAATGTATATACTATGTGAGATCATTACAATTCTTGACGGCTCTGTCCTTTTTCTGCTGGTTCTTACTCATTGTTCATCATTTGTGTGTATGGCTGTGAACTGATCATTTGCTTTGATCGTGTATCTTTAGAAATCCTTTGAGGTCTACAGAAACACAACAAATCAAAGAAAGGTTGGGCAAATGGAATTGCATAAAACTGCAGAGCTTCTGCATGGCAAAGGACATAGCTAGCAAGATCAATAGAAAGCCCATAGATCGGAAGAAGATCTTCACTAGCCATACAATGGACAAGGGTCTCATATCTAAAATATACCTGGAACTCAAAAATTAAATCCCCCAACAACAATTCCTCAAAGTAACAACTGCCTGATAAATAAGTGGGCTAAATACTTAAAGAGAAACTTCTCTGAAGAGGAAAGAAGAATGGCCAATAGACACATGAAGAAATGCTCAACTTCTCTAGCCATAAAAGAAATGCAAATCAAAACAACATTGAAATTCCACTCACCCCAGTTAGAATGGCTATAATCAAGAACTCTAATAACAAC